ATTTAAATAGGTCAAACATGTGTAAAAATATTAGGTTTGACTTGGTCTATTAGTCTGGGTAGACTCCAAATTACAAGTCCAATCTGACCTATATTTTAAAAATAAAAGCTTTGAACATGTTTAAGTCTATTAAACATTTAAAAATTAAAAAAGTAACTAAAATAATATTACTTTATTATTCAAAATTATTAAAATAATAGTTTTATTTAAAATAAATAATATGATATAGACCGACCTGTAGGTTTATAGACCCGACATGTATAAAAGAAAGCCCATGACCTTTTTTCTAAATAAATCTTTTTAAAAACCTATGCATATTTTATTTTACTATTTGTAATAGGAAAGATTATATTTACAATATATTTTTGTTTACAACCTTTTACAACCATATCTTAACCGTTGATTTCCGTCAATCAACGGTTATCATTCACTGTAAATTAAATATTAATTAATAAATTTGATTTACAAAAATAATAAACATTGATTGACGGAAATCAACGATTAAAATATGATTGTAAAAGACTGTAAACAAAAATAAGTTGTAAGTATTTACAAAAAAAAAAAAAATAAGTTGTAAGTATAACCGTCCCCATTTGTAATATGTCAAGTCTAACTTAATATAGGCTTGGGAGCAATGGTGGACCTAGTTGGTCGCCTCTGTCCGTACTTGCAGACATGAACTTCTAATTTTTTTTTTTTAAGCATAGTAGTAAAGCATGATGTTGGTTATATTAGGCTTTGTTTGGATATACAACGAGGGATGGAAATAAATGAATGGAATACGGTAGGATGGAATAAGATGTTTTTATTGTATATTTTATGATGCAATACAACAAATCAGCTTGATTAAAAAAAAGTGTTGAGAATAATTTTTTATGTTAAGTTGAAGTTTTTTTCTTATTTATATTTTTTGTTTTTTTAATCCCTGCACGTAGGGGTGCTAAACAAGCCAGGGGCCTTTGGCTCGACTCGTGAAGGCCTGATCTTAGATGTCTAAAATTGATTGTTGTACCCAAGCTTGGACTTGTATAAAAGCTTGTTTAATAAAAAGGCTTCAGGCTCTAATTCAAAAGCTCGGCCTTAGAGCTTCTCAGGCTTGCCTAATATATTATTTTTTATTTATTTTATTTATTTTTTATACTACTTGTGATAGCCCTCTCTCTCTTCTCAATTCATTTCATCCCATTTTATTAATTAAACAAACTTTTTAAATGATTTTGTTTTATATTATGCTATTTTGATATACAATAAATTTATGAATAATTATGGAATTACTAGTGTTGTTGATTGTATATTTTGTTTGGATAATTTTTTGTTGTATTATTTTTTTTAAACAGGCTAAAAAGACTTTTATTTTTTGTAAATGAGACAGGCCAAAGGCTGATATTATATTCGTAACAAGTAACAGGCTAAGGCCAGTCTGACAAATTTAAACACAGGCTCGGCCCGTTAAGACCAAAGCTCGGCTCGGCTCGGCTCGTTAACACCCCTGCACGGGGAAGGACATTGTAACTACCAAGTAATGTTACTATCAATGTTACTACCAATCAATTTTATCGTTGGATCGATTATGTTGATCCAACGGGTTATATTTATTTCTATCTTTGTATGGTTATGATTCCTCGTATTTAAAATGAAAGCATTAAATATGAAAAATCATAACCATACAAAGGTGGAAATAAATATAAAGTATTAAATATGTGGAATTATAACCATACAAAGATAAAAATAAATATAACCGTTAGATCAGCATAATCGACGTAACGGTGAAATTGATTGGTAGTAACACTACTTGGTTGTTACAATATTATATCCCTTAATGCATTTAAAATTTTTTTAAATTTTTTTTCAGGGGAGCTGCCCCCAAATCCTCATCACTAAATATGCAGACATAAATAATATTTTCTGAGTCCATCACTGCTAGGGAGTAAGTCTTTGTAAACCGGTCTAGTCCATTTACACTCCTAGCCTTCATCGTCTATAATTAGAAAAAGGGAATTGTTTTTCTTATGTAACATACGGTAAAACTTCTCTCCTACACTCACATATAAAGAAATGAGACCCATTTATATTTTTTTTCTCTCCTATATTCTCTTTCCTCTTTCCTCTATATGTGTCTATAGGAGATAAGTTTTATCCTATGTCACATAAGAAAACAATTTCCCTTAGAAAAATAACTGCACGTCCCACTGTCATTTCACTATTGCAGGCGATTCAGATCTTTAATCGCGTGCACAATAGATTTCACCTTCTATCGTTGAATATCTCTAAATCTACCTACGCAGTTTTTTTTTTCTTTATTTTTTTGTGATGGCAGAAAAATCAACCTCCTTTCAAAAAGGCCTCACATAGTCAAACTAATTAGGGATACATTTACTTTTTAACAAAACTTCTTAGTCAATTTATCACCAAGAAAGCCGTATCGAGTAGACTTTTACGTAGTTTTAGGATTTTTCGTGTTTGCCCCTTATATGCATATACATACAAGACAAAGCATTCATGACATTTGGGGCCAAGGTATTAATGGCAAATAGCCAAACATGTAAAGCATTCCAAAGGAAATTCAATAACCTTAGGGGGAAATAAACAGAAAGTACAAAAAAAAAAAACTTATCACAAAACACATGCATCAATTGATAAGTTGGTGTTGTAACTTAATTAGTAGTATGAGTTTGAGTCTTCTTAGAAATGCAGTTATGTTAAAATTTGATAAGAAAAACTTTATCATTTATACGATTTTATCTTATTAATTGAGTAATTGATGAAAAATAGATAATATAAAAAAATTATATATATATATATATCGAAAAAATATTTATCCTTTTAAAGGATATAATTTTGTATCATTTTAGATGAAACGACGTTATTTTGGTGCATAATTGATAATTTTTTACATTCTTTATCTCTAAATAATTAGGAAGAGACACAAAGTGGAGGAGAGAGAATATTAATTTTTTTGGAGTTACCCAACCCTAATTATCTCTTTGAGACGAGTTGGCTCCCTCCGTTATCCCCACGAGCTTCGACTCTTTGAGCCGGCTATGAGACTAATCCGGAGTGCGGGGGAACAAATAATATAAAAAATTATTAATTATATATCAAAACGACATTGTTTCATTTAAAATAACATAAAATTATATCATTTAAATGATAAATAATTTTTCTTTTATATATATATATATATATATATATATATATATATATGAGAAAATTGTGTATCATTCTAAAGGATATAAAGTTGTGTCATTTTAAGTAAGAAAAAGAGATAAATCATGGGAGAGAGAGTGAAAGAAAAAAAGTTTTAAAAATGTGAATCCCGCCTCTTAGTGAGAGTGAAAGAATGTAAAGTGTGTCATTTAAGCTTACAAAAAAAAAGTGTGTCATTTAAAAGGATAAACATTTTTTCCTATATATATATATATATTTATAGGAAAAAATGTTTATCCTTTTAAATGACACAACTTATATCCTTTCACTCTCACAAAAAGGTGAAACCCACACCTTTATATTTTTGTGTCCACTCTCTCTCTCCTCTTTTATCTATCTCTTTCTCTCACTTAAAATGACACAACTTTACATCTTTTAAAATGATACACATTTTTCCCATATATATATATATATATATATATATATATATATATATATATATATATATATATATATATATATATATATATATATATATATAGTCAGTAAGAATGGAAACAAATTCACGTGAGATATTATTATTTTATTACCGCGGCAAAGTCTAATCAAGCACGGAACAGAAGGCAAGTAATGAGAAATACATTGCCAACTTATTTATTTACATGATTAATATTTGTCATGTTATAACAGATAATATATACATAAAAATATATAAAATCCATATAAGGTCATGTAAAAAAAGAAAAAGAAAGAAAATATGGGTTCAACATATTTATATGTGTATAAAAAATAAAATTATGTTTTACAACATAAAAAACACTAATATCTAGGGATAGGATATTGTAACAATTAATTAGTGTTACTACAAATATTACTACCAATTAATTTCACCGTTAGATTGATTATGTTATTTCAATGATTATATTTATTTTCATTTTTCTATAGTTATGATTTTTCATATTTAATGTGAAAATATTAAATATAGAGAATTATAACTATACAAAGGTGAAAATAAATATAAAACATTAAATATGGAGAATCATAACCTTACAAAGATGAAAATAAATATAACCGTTTGATCAATATAATCAATCTAACAGTGAAATTAATAGATAATAATATTTTTTTTTTTTTGAAAACAAGATAATAATATTGATAGTAATACTAATTGATTGCTACGTAACTTTATTTATATACGTATATATATTAAGCCGCAAGGAACACTAATAATAAAGGAGTATGATGACATTTTCTTTTCATTTGTGCCTTTTGATTCCTTTCTTGATAACCATAATTTGGAAGCTATTTTGGTATTCTGTCAAAGTGGATTGAGAGATTATCTTTATGCTTCAAAATGGGTAAAAATGAGGCAAAGAAATTAGCGAGGTGTGGTGCCCCACGGCATCCCGCCCATCCAACTCCATTGATGAGAGTGATGATGGGATAAGGGTTTATTTATTGACTTCTACAGCACCAAAAGTCCAAAACACACGCCAATCATTCACAATGAAAATTACATAAACAAAGAAGAAAATGACCAAACCCATGTACAACAGTCTCTACTTTTTCAAACTAATTATTTTAACCATTTCCATTTTATATTTTTCTCCCTTTTTTTTAATTTTATTTTAAAGTTTTTACCCTCCCAAACCATTTGAAAACCCCAAGAAAGAGACCCTCCTTGATGAACTCAATATTGATTCTTCATCATCAAACCAAATCTCTATATTTTTATTTTTTATTTTATTTTTTATTTGGTTTCATTTTTAAATATTGCAACCAAAAAACCACATTTTCCCTTTTGCTTCAAGCTTTGCTCTCCTCTTTATTCCAACCCAACAAACACACTCCTCACTCCTCCATTTCTCACCTATTCTTAGTTATATATACTTTATCACACTCAAGGTAGGAGTGGCTGTGCTCGAATGATTCAATCTCATGGCTCGAATCAATTTGGGCATGGTTCCCTCCTACGTTTATTTCTCAGATTCCACTAAGAAGAAGAAGAAAAATATTATATATAAATTGTGAAATGGGTTTCTGTTTTTGTTTCTGGCGCTATTAGATCTGTTTGCGAGTGTGCTCGATCCACCCTCGTTTACTCACAAGGTTAAACCGTCACGTTTGTACGAAGTTGTGGTTTTTTTCTTTTGTCTTTTGGCACTGTTTGAAACACTCACTCTCGGGAGGATTTCGTTGATTTGCACCCTTTGAGCCAAAGAGTGTTTTTTTGGCTTCATTTTATGTTAGTTTTGGTGGAAACAGCATATGGGTTGCATCACTTTGGGGCTGGGAATTTGATGATGATGCATGGTCAGCTTAGTAATCATGGGGTGGTTGTGGGGTTTGTTGGGTTTTCAGGGAGTTGGTTTTGTTGTTTGTATCTTTATTTGTTGAGGGTGCTCAGGTACGGGAACTATATAATAGCATCTTAGGGGTCTGGGGTTGTATTGTATGCAATAATGGGTAACGGCACTTCTCGTGTTGTTGGCTGTTTGGTGCCATTCAATGGCAAAAGTGGAGTTGATTTGGAGTTTTTAGAGCCATTAGATGAAGGGTTAGGCCATTCCTTCTGTTATGTGAGGCCATCTATTTTTGAATCTCCTGCCATTAGCCCATCAAACTCTGAGAGGTTTACAGTTGATTCCAGTACCCTGGATTCTGAAACCTTGAGTGGATCCTTTAGGCATGATAGTATGGAAGATTCTTCTGGCATACACAAGCCGAGTAAGAATTTTCCAGAAACCACATTCAAGACGATTTCAGGGGCTTCTGTTAGTGCCAATGTTTCAACTGCAAGGATTTGTAACCAGAGTGCATTGTTTGCTAGTGATGTCCTGGAACCTGCTGCTTCATTTGAGGGAACTGCTTCTTTTGCTGCAATCCCTTTGCAGCCTGTTCCACGTGGTTCTGGACCTTTGAATGGTTTCATGTCTGGCCCCCTGGAGAGAGGTTTTGCCTCAGGTCCATTGGATAGGGGTGGTGGTTTCATGTCTGGGCCAATAGAGAAGGGAGTTATGTCAGGTCCTCTTGATGCCACTGACAAATCCAATTTTTCGGCACCACTTGCACGTGGTCGTCGAAGGCCAGGCCTCCAACATCTCATGAGAAGTGTAAGTGGACCAATGAAGAACACTTTCTCTCGGACCTTCTCTAAGCATTCTATGGGTAGCAGTTGGATGCAAAGGTTATTCTTTCACCCAGTGACTCAACTAGCCTGGCATTCCAAAGATGCAAAGTTTCGACCTGAAGTCTCAAGGAACTGTATTGAAGTTGGACCATCTGAAGCGGAGTATAAGCATACACACAATTTGCAGTGGGCTCATGGTAAGGCTGGTGAAGATAGGGTTCATGTTGTGCTTTCTGAAGAACAAGGGTGGTTGTTTATTGGGATATATGATGGTTTTAGTGGACCAGATGCACCTGATTTTCTGATGAGCCATCTTTATAGATTTGTAGACAAGGAATTGGAAGGTTTACTTTGGGATTATGAAGATAATCCTATAGATCCATTTAAACCTGAAGTCCCTGAAACTGTAAAAGCTGTGGTTGCTCCAGAATGCAGTAGGGGGGAAATGTCTGATACTCATGCTAATTCAAATCAAGAATGTTTAGAAGCTTCTTCTGGTTCAGTGATGATCAAGGATCAATCAACTGCCAGGGAGATAGTTGAGGAAAATGCTGAAGCTAAGATTAATGTTGAACACCTGTTACCTAATTGTGGAAGTCCCAGTATCTCGTGTACTCTTCCAGCTTCCGGTCAACTTGGACAATTGACTGGAAAAGGTAGAAAAAGTGTGCGGCTTTATGAGTTACTCCAGATGGAATCTTGGGATGAACATGGTTTTTGGTCAGTCTCAGAACAATGTAAAGATTCTTCGGTTTGTAGGGAATCAACACTAGATAGGTATATGAGACCTTGCTCATCTAATGCAAAAGAAGATGGTTCTAAACATCAGGAAGAAGGTCCCACTACATCAGGAGAAAATGTGGGCACTGGGTTTGATTCAACCAATCAGGAACCTGAAGCTGCTTTTTCTGTTTTGGGACAAAGGCAGAATTCGAGAAAGTCATTTATCAGTACAAAAATCAGAAAAATGTACAGGAAGCCAAAGTCCTTGTGTAAGAAACTTTTTCCTTGGAGTTATGATTGGCATAGGGAGGGAAGTTGTGTTGATGAGAAAATATTGGAAGCCTCAGGACCAATTAGAAAATGCAAGTCTGGAGTAGATCATAACGCTGTTTTAAGAGCAATGGCTCGAGCTCTTGAAAGAACAGAAGAGGCATACTTGGAAATGGTGGAGCATAATCTGGACAAAAATCCAGAGCTTGCTTTAATGGGATCATGTGTTTTAGTGATGCTGATGAAGGATCAAGATGTTTATGTCATGAACCTTGGAGATAGTCGAGTGATTGTGGCTCAAGAAAGACCAAATGATCGTCATCCTAATCCAAGTTTTGTCAAGGATGATGTGAGGCATAGAAATCGATCTAGAGAGTCATTAGTACGCATGGAGCTGGATAGGATTTCGGAGGAGTCCCCAATTCACATGCATAACAGTCATGTCAACAAGATGAATAAAAACCGTGAGATATCCATGTGCAGATTAAGAATGAGGGCTCTTCAGCTTTCCACTGATCACAGCACAGGTATTGAAGAGGTGTGTTTCCTTCCTTCTTTGTGTATTGGTGAATCAAATAGTTTGTGATGCTTGTTCGGAGATCTTTATAAATTATGGTCAAATGTTCTAGTTCTAAAATTTCACCCGCTAGGCTGATGTGAATTATTGTATTGTGTTCTATTTCTCTGTGCCTGCATATGTATGTTGGAATGATATTGATTTATAACTAGCATATTTACTATGACATAAATCTTATATGCTAATCAAATTGTGTACTTTTCTGTCAACAAAAATGTTCTACATAATAAACTGTATAAGTGAATTGATGAGTATCATCAACAATAATGTGTCATTTTGCATTCACACAAATAATCCACTTGTGCACCAGACAGTTGTTGATCTCTTGATCATTTGCTTATACAGTGGATTTTCTTTCTCCGCTGGCTTTTAATAAAATATGAATCAAAATGTGGAAATTCATGTCTATGTACAGTTCTCTAGATCAGACCAGGTTTGTTTTGTAGTTCATTTTGCATGAGGATTTCCCTGATATCCTGTGCACTCTTGCATTTACTAACAAGAATTCCAATCAAATATCATTATACTTATTTAAAATATGAAATATGTACTAGAAAGAAAAGTTCATAGCATTTAATAAAGTGTTTCACCGAATATTTTTCAATTTTGCCTCTTTTCTGCAGGAAGTTTTTAGAATAAGAGCAGAACACCCGGATGATAATCAAGCCATATTAAATGATCGAGTGAAAGGACATTTAAAAGTCACCAGAGCATTTGGTGCTGGGTTCTTGAAGAGGGTCAGTAGATCTTGTGACTTTGACCTATCTGAAATTTGGTTTGTTGCAGTCCTTTTGTGTTTAGTTTATAAGTAGGGATTCTACTTGTTTCCATATTTATCCATTTTCCCGTAACATATGAAAAAATTAGGTAAAAAGGTATATACATTATAATTGTGTGTGCGTGCACGCGGGGCAGGCTGCCCAGAGCCCTCAGCTAGGCCTCTAATAGTTGTAGGTACCATTGTCTCACTTTCATCCTTGACTTAGTAGCTGACAACGTCAGTTGGCTTTGAAATTGCAATATATTAACTGTCAGGTGCTTGGAATCAGCATGCTTTTTGTTTTACGTCCTTCTACTTTGTCTTTTAGGCTGAATTATACTTGCTGAATCCAGTAGAATTATGTTTGGCCTCTCAATTCATGTATTCCTTTTTATGAAACATTTTTCACATATTATTTTGAAGACTATCTTTCAAGATTTTGTACACTTAAAATGGTAGAAATACACCTTGAATTGGAGACCTCACTGGGCTGGGGTTCATGCGCGTGATAGCCAAACTATATCAAATGGGAGGAGTAGTCAAAGGTCGGGAGTTGGTGATAAACTTACTATATTATGTGGTTGTGGACAACAGGACATAAATTTGTTTTTTCAACACCCTTGGAATCTGGGGCCACAATATTATGCCCACTAATAGTATTGATTTCTTAGCACTTTACCTTGGTAGGTGGCTAATAAGTTATCTCCGAGCTGACAATAGGGGATCCAAACTGTTTATATGGATAATCTTGTCTATGTCCCTTTTGGTCGTGGTTCTCTAGCAACAATGGATACCTATGATGATGCTTTTAGATGGTTTCCATATATCTGTCTCTCTGATTTAACTTCCAATTTTTTTAAGTTAGATAAAGGTGCAGTTGGGTAATAATGGATGAAATAGTCAATACAGGATTAATCGCATTTTAACTATTGAGGTCTAATCTAGTTTAAAGGAAAAGAGAGTTGAGGAAAGGGTGGAACATTGGATCAGCAGGTTGGATTTTGGTAGTACTATTACTTTTGTGGCAGGTAAAGCTTCAAGGACTGTCGAATGCAGCATGTTTTTATATTACTGCATTGCATCAAGTACATTTTCTAATTGTCCATTATTGGTAGTTCTGAAGATTCATTTGGCTGATGATTAATTGTGAAGACTTGAATATGAAAAGAATATATTTATTTATGTTTACGTTGTGAATTAAATGGCCTCAAGCTACTCATATACCTTTTACCAACTTTTTGATGATGACACCAATAACATTTTGCACTGTTTTGTTTTTTTTTAATCTGCCTTATATGGAATCATTCAAACCTTTTCTAACCTTTTTTTGTTTTGGTTTAGCCATCTTTTAATGAAGCTCTACTGGAGGTGTTTCGAGTTGATTATGTGGGCTCTGCTCCTTACCTAAGTTGCACACCTTCTGTTCTTCATCACCGCCTTTCCTCGAGTGATCGTTTCTTGGTACTTTCCTCTGATGGGCTTTACCAATACTTCAGCAATGAAGAGGTAGTTGCCCATGTCACATGGTTCATGGAAAATGTCCCCGAAGGTGATCCTGCACAATACCTTATTGCGGAGCTTCTATTCTGTGCTGCTAAAAAGAATGGTCAGTTGCCTCACCTTCATAGTCCCTTACATATTATTGTAGGGGTTAACACTTGCATCTGAGAGTTTATTTACACGTAAACTCTCCCTCAACTTGGCTTCCATTTTAAGTTCTTAATTAAGTTCTTCGAACCCAAACATCTTTCTTATTGGAGTTCCATTTTTTACTGAGGTGGTTCTACTACAATTTGATGAAAGAGCGATACGTTTGAATTGTTATTTGTTACACACACATTCTTTCATCCTCCTCCATAAAGTATGCTACAATGTATGGTCAGCGATGTTGAATGTTTCTGACAATCCACAAATTTTGTTTTTACAAACCTTAATCGCATCTGATACTTAGATTAATTCTGAATCATGAAAGCTCTTTAAAGAAACGAAGATCCTTGTCATATCTGTTACAAAGTCCTGAATTGCACATGATATTTATTGTCCACTACAATTCTCTCTCTCTGTTTTTTCTCCCTTTAAACACAATATATATGAGGGATAAGATCCGTTTACAAACATTTTTTGCAAATTACACTAAGTACGACATGACAGGACGTACACTGCATGATTAAAGTATGACCGGTCATACTTAGTGTAGTCTGTAAGAGTTTGTAAACAAAAAAGTTTGTAAATATAATCTGCCCCTATATATGAATGGTTGATAAATTAAATATTTGAGATCTTCTCATTTATATATTTATTATAAACCTTTTTTTTTTTTTTTTTTTGCAGGAATGGACTTTCATGATTTGCTTGATATTCCTCAAGGAGATCGACGTAAATATCACGATGATGTATCTGTTATGGTGGTTTCTTTGGAGGGAAGGATTTGGAGATCATCAGGATAGTTCTTTTGTATTTAATTTTTGGAGGTGCCTTCATATTTGCATGTTGCCTTGATAATGAAACAATTTTGAGCTAGGAGTAAAATGATTTTGGAAATCAATATTAGTCTTTGAAATATTTGAAGTGGAAACTATTTTTCTCTCCTATCCCTAACCGATAAATTTATAGGAAATTCAGTTATCAAATGCAGTAACAAGTTTGCATATTATTTTACTTTAACCATAGTTGGATAGGGCATTTGAATTGAGCATTAATTGATCCAGGAGGTTTTTATTTACTTTTTATCATTTAATGTTCGAAAAAAGGAAGGCATGACAATCACTTAAAGGTGGCGAACTTTGCACATTGCCTTTTGTTTTTTCTTCTAAAACTTTACATGATTATAAGCATCTAATTTTGAAGCACTTAATAAATTTAGCCAAATTTTTATTGTCGAACATAAATTCTGAAACTGCTAAATTTTATCTGGTTAAGTTTTTTGCTTTAACTAGTCAAAATATAAAATAAAAATAATTTAGATATATTTTCTAAATTTGATTCTAAAAAATTAAAAAAGTTACATTTTGAATTTTTTTTTTTTTGGCAAAATAGGTTTTATCAAACAAATTTTTTTTATTTTTTTTTATTTCTCGAAATAAATTTTAAATATTTGGTCTTTTTTTTCTTTTTCTTTTTCCCATATGCAAAAAATGGGTAAGCCCTATTTTCGGTTCACGAAGGCTTATTATGGCAATGGACTCATAGATTTCATATATTGCTCATAATTTGGGCGTGCTTCTTCCAGAGGCCCAAGTTTCATTTCTTTAAAGGCAAAATGCCGCTCACAGGATCAAATAAAGCAGCCATAATCAGAAAAATAACAATGAACCATAGCAAATATAAGCACTGTACGGATGAGTATGCGAGGAAGATGAGCACATAAAACATAATGCATACACAATTTATAGATCACAAAATTTGAAATCATCAAACTTAAGATAAAAAAACTATAGCACAACAGAGACATATGTTTCCCAACCGGAAATGAAGGAACCAAGGGAAATAAATGAGACACCCACACGCAAAATAATATATACCATTTGGATGAACAAAGTTACTTCTAATACAAAACTCAATGTTGGTATTATAATTTACGAAACCGAGTCCGCAAAAGATGAAGAAATCCCAAATTTAACCCTGCTAAACACCAAATCAACCAAACAGCGGTCATCCTTCATACATTAAAACTCCCCAAATATATATGTATTTATAACAAATATGGTTATATTTACAATTTTTTTTGTTTATAAACTACGCTATATATTACGGGTAGTACATATTACTTAAACATGTACTATCCGTCGTACATAGAGTAGTTTGTAAAAATTTATAAATAATTTTTTTATAAATATAACCTATCTTAATTCTCAGTCTACATTGGCATACATGACTACTATTTCACCCCACAAGTTTGACCATCAAAATTAAATTTTTTGATGTGTATAAGATTTTTATTTTAATTTAATAAAGAGTTATCATATAATTGAATTACTTTTTTTTTTTTTTTTTTTAGAGTTACCCAACCCTAATTACCTCTTTGAGGCGAGTTGGCTCCCTCCGGTATCCCCACGAGCTTCGACTCTTTGAGTCGGCTATGAGACTAATCCGGAGTGCGGGGGATCAGTGATGGCTAAAGGATCAGTGCGGGGATCATTGAATTACTTATATATCTCACATAATTATATATAGTTAAATTTATTAAATAAAGCGCCAATAAATAAATGAATAATAGTGTTAAAATTTTACACTACGAAAAAATAAACTTTTTAACTAAAATTGAAACTTTAACAGAAATACTGCATAAAAAAGGTAAATAAATGAGTATTTAAGCCCAACAATCTAAACGGGTAGCTCCATGTTTCACAAGAAAAAAGAAAGTCTTTGCAGGAATTGACTTCTGGAAGGAGCAAGAATATCTCATGGTTGATGCCTGATGGAAACCGTCTACTGAACGTCGAAGGAAACTTTGTAGAAAACGGTAACACCAAGAATGGTGGATTTTTATAATATAAAATGTTGAATAAGAAGACTATGAAGAAAACGATAATTAATTAAATTTTTAGTTATTATAGAAATATAAAATTATGTGACTTTTTAAAATGATAATGTGACATATTTTTTTTTTCATCTTAACTTTACGCAAAAAAATAAAAAAAAAATAAATCCTCGCTGCTGTAAGAATGGAACATTCCTTTATATCGATCTAATTATTCAATCTAAAGGCATAACATTGAAAGCATCCGTAGAACTGAAGCGGTGGGTGTCACATCTAAAGGTGCCAATCTATTCCCCAAGGTTGTTTTCGGATTTGGTGTTGTGCCAATCTTTAGAAACAATTGTGATAATTATAAAGGGATAGATTATATTAAAAACTTTTTGATTATAAATTATATTATGTATTTTGGGATAGACAATTAGACACTCAACTCGAGTGTTTGTATTCTTTGAAATACACACTTAACTGTTTGTATTCTCCGAAATACATAATATAATTTATAAGAGTTATAAATAAAAAATTTATAAATATAATCATGTTCAATTTTAAAAAATAATTTTGGCCATTTAAAAAAGGGTTTTATTAATTTTATGCAATAGGAGATAAGTCCTTTAATGCTATAAAGACAATCATGTGTAGAACCCACCCACTTATAAAAAAAGAAAAAGAAGCAATACGAAAATCGATGTATGTGTAGGAGAGAAAAACACTCTCCAACAACATGAGAATATATTTTACCTTTAAAAAAAAAAATTAAACAGAAAAAATAAAAAGTTTTTGGTGGAAGAAAAATAAAAGAAATTAAAAAAAAATAAGATAGAAGTTGGTCAGCTCTTGAGTTTCTGTATGAATCATGTATTTGATCTGCCCATATCAATATCTCTCACCAAACCCCCTGTTGATTGCACAGTCAATGTTTGCATTTTCCCAGCAAGCAACAAACTAATCTAGCCATACGTTGATAACTATTCACATGAATATTTTTCATTCATAGTCAAGACTTAAAAATTATAGATAATTTCTATAAGGCCTTTTTACTCAATTGCTTTGAATTTAAGTTGAAGGACTTCACAAATGCTTTACCATCACATCTTTGCCTGTTCATAGATTATGCATATATAAAGAACAGCTAGCCACATTTCTCACCATCCAACTCAAGCTTCTCTCTCTTCTCCTAACTATATATATATAATAAACTTCTCTATTTTCATCCATCATTCTAATTCCTTTCTCTTGCAATTGATACAGCTATCTTCCAAACCATGTCCCCAACAAACATTTTGGCAATTTTAGTCATCTTCTGCTGTTCCATCTCCTTTGCCTTCGCCTCTGATCCTGACACACTTCAAGACCTTTGTGTAGCTCTGCCATCTTCAGGTAATACACATTAATTACCATTTACCAATTTGATTTCTCTCTCTTCACATAATTTGTTTATATAATTCATAAAATTGTGTTTATGAAATGTGTAAGTAATGTGCATGGTGTGTTATATATATACGTGCAGGTGTGAAGGTGAATGGGTTTGCATGCAAAGCCGAGTCAAATGTGACAGCAGCTGATTTCTTCTTTAATGGTCTAGCCAAGCCAGGAGTTATCAACAACACAGTGGGATCTCTGGTTACTGCAGCCAATGTTGAAAAAATTGCAGGGCTTAACACATTGGGGGTATCTTTCTCAAGGATAGACTTCAAAGCTGGTGGACTCAACCCACCTCACACACACCCTCGTTCCACAGAGATTGTGTTTGTTTTGGAAGGTCAATTAGACGTGGGTTTTATCACCACAGCCAACAAGTTCATCTCCAAGTCCATAAAGAAAGGTGATATCTTTGTGTTTCCAAAAGGTTTGGTGCATTTTCAGAAGAACAATGGGGATGAGCCTTCTTCTGTGATTTCTGCCTTCAATAGTCAACTCCCTGGGACCTTGTCTATTGCTGCAGCTCTGTTTACCTCAACACCAACTGTGCCTGATAATGTTCTTGCCCAGGCCTTCCAGATTGATACTAAAGAGGTTGACAAAATCAAGACCAAGCTTGCTCCTAAGAAGGGTTAATTAAGTTTAGCTAAATAATGATATTCCAGAGAGGAAGACTTGGTCTTATAAACCTGCTTTCCCCCTATTATTCCCAATAATTCTTGAAGGGTTATGATCATTTTATCACTTAACGTGGTGTATTTTACTCATTGATTTGGTACCTACGTGTTAAGTATAAGGCAAGTGCTATAAAGGAAGAAGCTGTCAATTTTTATGTGGGTATGGTTTCATTTCTTGTTTTTGAGAACGCTGAACAAAGATTGGACCTTACCCACCTCACTATCTCTTTCATGTTGGTTGGTTGTTAAATCAGTTTGGTAAGATGCAGACATCTTAAAATTGGTGGCTCTCAAATTATTATTTGGTTGGAAATGGATTTCATTATATATACTAGGCCCAATAAATAAAAAAGAGCATAGTATAAAGAAAAATAAAAATAAAATTAAAAGAAGCATTCAGCTCATCAGTGTAACTTAAAAAAAAAAAAAAACATTAGAAATATTTTTTTTTCTAAAGATTTTAATATAAAGATGAAACGCAATTATTACTTTATTAATCATATCACATCATATATTGGATTCCACAATAAGACTAGCTACATGAAGTGGGAGTGCAGCAAGATGTAAGTCGAAGAGTTGCCTTAGACGCTGGTGAGTAGGGAAGTACGTTCATTACTTGACTATTCATTATTCAAGTCGGAATCTTATTTTAATTTTTTTTAAAGGGAAAAATTACTCTTATGTTACATGTGATAATTTTCTCTCTTACACACCCTTCGATAACTGTGCCACTTTTTTCTTTTCTTTTTATTTTTCATGTGGTGGAGCTCACAAATTTGCTTGTATGACATGAGATAACTTATCTTCTTTTAACATGAGATTAATAAAACTCTTTTTTAAATATACCAAATCTGGTTTACATGGGTTTACATTTGTCTTGTTTTCTGCATATATAACTTGAGGTGGGCTCATGGTGTTTTAAAAAAAAAAAAACACTTGTATCGATGACTCTGGATGAAGATGTTTCTATATCATGTAACATTATACCTACATTTCAAAAAAAAATAATAATATACCAAATCAATATAAAATTCATTTTTTAAAATGGTTTGCTATAAATAATTTTAGTTGATTTAAATCCTTTTATGATTATTGTCACTTGATCTTATTTTTTATAATTTTTAATAAATGAGTATTTATATATTACTAAAGATATGCTTCACATTTTCTTTTCTTTTTATTGGCTCCACTCACTTTATATCTCTACGTGAGGAATAAATTTTTAGTACATATGCCCATTATTTTATGACATATAGAAAAAAATATCACATCATCTTTTTTTTTTATGTTTGACTTACAATAAAAATATTAATTTCTTTAAATTAAAGATTTATCGTTTCTTCATCAACAAAAATAAATTTATCTTCGTTAACCCTAAAATTATGTAATTTTGAGATGGAGAAAATTAATAAATGATGTTTTTAATAAAATTCCTATAACAAAAAATAAATAAAATTTATAAAATGCTCTTCATTGATGGAGATAACTTTATTTCACATGGATGAAAAATGATAAACCCTAAAATTAATATTATAATTATTTTTACTTGGTTCGAAATTTTGGGTGATAACTGTTGTGCTGCTAATAATGAACGGTGAAAACGGTACGTTTTAACCTCCGCATCGCACTGGCATTCGCTCATGATGCGTTGCCGCTAAGAACAGGAACATGGAAGATTCGAAACAACAGCGAAAGAAGAACTACAGAAAGAGAAGTGCTCCAACAGAACAAGATCAACTAGTGCAATCTGAAAACAACAATGAATCCGATGACGAACGAGAAAGAAGGTTTCTCTTTTCGAGTTTTTGTCTTTTATTTGAAGACCACACAAAAATAAATTAATTCTTTCTTTTTTTTCCCGTTTTGATTTGGGAAATTTATGTTAGGGTTTCGTTTACTGATCCAATTATGCTGATGATAATTGACCGAACAGAATGGCATTGGAAGAGATTAAACTCCTCCAGAAGCAGAGAGAAAGGAAATCAGGGCTTCCAGCAAACCCTAGTTTGCCAGCGCAGAGTGGAATTAGCGGCGGTTTAGCTGCTAAAGCCACCGAAAAGAACGACGGCGATGGCGGTGATAAGGACGAGCTTGTTCTTCAGGACACCTTTGCTCAAGAGACCGCTGTTATGGTTGAAGACCCCAATATGTGCGTGTGTATGTTGTGTTTGTTTGTGCTGTGGTTATTGAATTTGAAGGTACTTGTTGATCTTAGTGTAACTTTGTTACTTGAACAGGGTCCAGTATATTGAGCACGAATTAGCAAAGAAGAGGGGCAGGAAAATTGATGCAGCTGATCAAGTTGAGAATGAGTTGAAACGTGCTGAAGATGAACTATATAAAATCCCTGAGCATCTTAAAGTGAGTTGCTAGCTTCCCTTTGTTTTGCAATGTCCGCAGTTTGTTGTTGCAGCTGATACTATTGCAGATATGAATCATGTTTTTTTTTCCAGTTAGTTAGTTTCTGATATTGGAGCTTCATCTTACTCTTGTGATATCCATTGTCTTTTGTGAGCTTAATCTACTTTTTTCCCCTTCTTCTCTTGTTTCATAATATTTTGTCCTGTCAGGTAAAAAGGCGAAATTCAGAAGAAAGCTCTACTCAGTGGACTACTGGTATTGCTGAGGTTCAGCTTCCAATCGAGTATGTTTTCTCATATCTGTTGCGATGGGCTGTGTTTGTAGTTTGAATTATTTGTTGAAGAAGTATAAAATTTCTTGCAATTTTTTTGCATTTTTCTTTCAACTTAAACATTGCCTATGGGTGATAAATTGATCTGTATGATAGTGCCTATAGTTGGAAACAAACAACCAGATTTTAAGGATTTTGGCTTTTCAGCTGAAAGTTCTTTTTTCCAATGATTTTTATAATCCAGATGATTCATCTTGTCCTTGGTTCATCGCTTTTTAACTGTAATAGTTTATTTTCTATTCCTTCTATGTTGCTAGTACTTGGCGGTGCTTCTTTAATGTTAGTTTATGAATTTGTTTCTTGTGGAATAAAAATGGGTGATGTGTCCTTAGGGGTTTGATTTCATCTTTGCAGATATAAGTTAAAAAATATTGAAGAAACAGAGGCTGCAAAAAAGCTTCTACAGGAAAAGAGGCTTATGGGTCGGACAAAATCAGAATTCAGCATTCCATCAAGTTATAGCGCTGATTATTTCCAGCGTGGCAGGGATTATGCTGAAAAACTTAGAAGAGGTTGCATTTCATTGGTTCTTTCATTTTAGAGTACATATGTATGTTTCCTTGTTTGTTATTAGATTGCTGTGTCATTGTCAACATTGATTTAGTTATCAATGAATTCATCTTGCGGCATTTTCCTTTTATAGATAGATGTCTGTTGATTTCTTGTACTCTTGTTTTAATTCATTCCAATTACTGACCAGAGAAGTGACTAATTTGCAGAACATCCTGAGTTGTACAAAGATAGAAGTCTACAGGATGATAGTTCTGGTTCAAAACAAAATGAATCCGGCACTGATGCAGCTGGAGCAGTACAGAGGCAGGCTGCAACAGATCAATTCATGTTAGAGCGCTTCAGGAAACGAGAACGTCACCGGGTAATGCGAAGATAACACGTATGTGATATTAGTGGCATGTTTTACAAGAGTACATCAAGGATTGGTAGAAGTCCAACTCCAGTTGAATGGCATGCCATTGATCTGCGTCTATTCCTTCTTTGCTCAAATATCAGCAGAAGATCGTACAGCTGCAATCATGCTTTATTTTTTGTGGGTTCTTATTATTTTTATTTAGACAAAACTTTTAAGAAGTAACAAAAATGTATTAATTTAGCCACTGCCAGCATCGTGTCTGACTTTGCAGTGGCCTCTGTTAAGAGGCAACAAAGAATTGTGATAGTTAGCGCATCTTTGGTTGGTCACCAATGACTTGCTGTGAGCATCATATGCTTATGAACTTCTGGTAATGGTGAAGGTCCTAAATGGGTTAGGTGCCTTGTTAGGCGATCTGCATGTTTTGTACTGACCAAAATATTTAATTTTCCATTGAAAGCTTTTGCATCTTTAGGAACCCTCCGTCAGTAGTTCAAAATGGCTTACTCATTGGTTTTCTGTTTTCTTCCACATTAACCATTAGACCATTGATTACTTTGCCTCGCGAATCAATGTTAACTTACTGACCATGTGTCGGGTAGAAACAGTTATAAAAGTTTGATATTCTGGATGTTTTTACCAGTGCATCTGAACTACAAGCTTTTAAGGCGTGTTTGAACTGAATGAGTAGCCTTCATTGTCTAAAAGAAAAGATAAAAAAAAAATGCTAAAAGGTATATAGAATAGAATGGATCATTACCCATTTGCCGAAGTTTATTTTACACAAAAGGATTAAAAAAAAAAATCCCAATTTGGTGGGCTTCATGGCAAAATGCTAAAATTGCTGAGCCACGATGCCTTGGAAGGCATACAAATATATACTATTTACCTTTGACAAATATATTAGCTGGAGACCAACAGAAAAAAATAAAGGACAAACAAATGAGTAAATGGATACAACTATAAAAGGATGAAGTGGAAGATTATTGAATAATAATTATATGTATTCTTCCGTTCAGAACTGAACCTTGCTGATGAAAGACTGCCCAAATGTCCAACTGGTCGATGCCACATTATAAGCAGTGTGAATTTTTCCACTGCTGAGTTGCACTCTGAAGGACAAGCTCTGACCATTGAGATAGCTTAAGCTTTGCCAGTTAGATCCCCAATTCCTTGACATGGTTTCCCAGTTATTCATATTGGACCCTTTGATCCAAACTCCGGAGATATCCCCTGCTCCACCTACGTTGCTTATAAGCACTAATTCAAAATAGTTTTTCCCATTGATAGTAAATCTGATGCCTCCAGTTCTTTTGCACCCAACTCTGCATAGATGCAGCCCAAATTTTTGAACAACATTAGTTAGCTAGCTATATCCATGACCATAATAACAATTTTAAACAATTTTCACTTGTGGTAAATAAAAGGAAAACACACAGAATGAGGACATAACATACTTCCTGTAAAAAATTGGAACAATTCCAGCCTTGTATTTGGCTATCATCTCAAATGCTGGTTGAGACATGTCAAAGTGTGGTCTGGGAGGATTGCACCAACCACCATTATCACTAGGGAGAGCATAGTTTGGGGGACAGAAATTTGTGGCTGTAATTGTGATGGAAGTGCCCTTGAGACACCATTGGGGCACTTGATTTGCGTCACAAACTATCTGATAGCAACCACCGCATGATTTTCCATCATTAAATAAAGCAGTACTCAATGCAGCTGTTTTTATTCCATAACCATCCGTGTCTAGATTTCCATAGCCACACGCGCCCCCTGCAAGTAAGAGACAAGATACTTGTTTCATATATATGATCATATGGGAATAGCTCTTATTTTGTATTTAAAATTGTAGTTTGATGACTTTAGAAATGATAAGGAGAAAAAAACACAAGACAAAATGTGGATGCATGTTACCCATTGTTCCTGAGGCATCACTTCCACCATAGAAAGTTGCATGAGCTCGCTGCCAAACTGCGGATGCTACTCTAAGTTCTGTGGCGAATAACCCAACAAGCAATGCTAGACCACTGAAAATTAGCTTTTCCATCCCCTCTTATCTCTCACTATCTATAAGTCTGAGTTTGAACAAGGAGTTTCTTCAATTGCTGCTCAAAATGACAGACTCTTATGGGGGAATTTATATCTGCAGTTAGGGATGTTTAGCCAATGTAAACAACTAACTCAAATTGAAATTATCGAATAAAAAAATGATATTGACCGAAAAGTTGTTCTCTTATTATAAAAAGAATTACTATGAGATCCATGCATCAAAGAATTAGCCAAGGCAGTTAGACAGGTGTGAATAATATAAAGAATTAGCCAAGGCAGTTAGATAGGTTTGAATAATATTGAGTATGACTCGTAATTCATATTTAGGACGACTATTGTTAACTTATGAATAGTTACTTTTACTTTAGGATTTTTTAAATTTATTTATATTTTTCTTATAAACTGAATGACTTATAATAAGTGTGGTAAGAAGAATATAGTAAATATTATTAGAAGTAGCACACATTGGTTCAATTATGATAAATTCCATTGTTGTCAAAATCGGACCGGACCGGCCGGATCGACCCGGAACCCGGTCATCTGACCAGTCCGATTATCATATTGGATCGCTCAAGTATCAGATCCGGTACGACTCGGTGCGACCCGTCCGGTTTTGGTGAAAAACCAGTGACCTGGCACGGGTTTTTTTAAAAAAAAACTTTTCCAAAAAAAAAAAGTTTTTCAAAAAAATAATCATAATTGATATATTTGAGTGATTTGTTACTTATTGACTTACATAAGTTATGTACCTACAATCTTAATATTATCTCAATTATGCACTATACAAGAAATTTTGATTTAATAGTTAAAGATGTCATTTACCGAACCTGAAACATCAATATAACAAGCATTATGTGTTTGTTTGATCCTTTATTGAACAATAATGTATAATTTATTATTTTTTATATTAAATTATTTAGAATTTATATTATTTTTTTTAACTATTTGAGTATATTTATAATTTTTTAAATATAAATTATAAATTTATATATAATTACCAGGTCATACGATTCAATCAGTGACCTAATACCTTGACCAGATCATTCACTGGGCCCAGTTTTAATAAGATTGATAAATTCTGTTTCTCTTTTTCTTCCATTTCTTTCTTTTAATTTGCAATTATTTTTGTGTGTTTGTGTTGGGTCCAGCAAATAAAACTTAACCCTTCCAAATTATACAGCGCTGGATGCTAGATTGATATCAACATACCGTCTTGAAATGTACTCAGATTAATATTCGTCTTAAATTGGCTTTCTCCAAATGGTTCAATCAGTGTCATTGTACAGTGAAAGAACATGCTTTGTCGGTGATAGGGTCCGTACTCCGTGGTACGTAAGTGGTACGATCAAATGCAATTTGCGCAGCCTGCTTCGCAGTAAACCAAGAATAATATATAATGATAACTGATAAGTCGTATAAAGTTTATTTTAAGATTTGTCAGAATAATACTCCATTTTAATGGCTAACAACCAGATGAAAGATTCTTCTTCTTACTTATTGTCGAAAATCAACTATTTTAAACAATGTGTTGAGAATCAGACAAGAATGATTAAGTTTTTGGTTCAAATATTATTCAGTTCAATCAAGATTTAACTACAAATTCAACTGGTGGAAATAATTGAACCATGACCAAAAGTCTTGCTAGTTTAATCTTCAGTTCGATTTCCAAAACATTGATTTTAAATGCTCAAAGCTAAAGTCTTCTCTTGCAAAAAAATTCTTTTAAGTTTGAGATCAAATTCACGAACCCTTAGTTATAAAATCTCTAGTGTTATAATGTTAAGTCATTTTTTTTTAAATAAATCTTGTACTCATATATATTATAAAGTCAACTCCCACACGCAATGTAATTCAAGAAAATATGTGCATAAACGTTTGCTTTAATGATAGTAGTAACATGCAATGCCGTAGTATGTGCAATGGCAACTTGCTTATCAAGAAATGAAAACTTATTATATTAGCAACTATAGAGTATTAACAAACATTAATAAGTCAGCTATAAAAGTGTTCATGAATATATGCCATATATTAAGCCATATCTCAAGCCATATCTCATGGAATTTACACACCCATATGCACATGGCTGATGGCATTCCCTGCCATATACCTTTTTATTTTTATTTTTTTGTTGAACCTGCCATGTTCAACCAACTACTGTTAAATACGAGGGCCAAGTTGGTCATTCGAATGTGTACTACATATCCTCATTTTATAGATTTTTTAAAAAATATTTTTCCAATAGCTTAAAATCTTTTGTTTTCTTAAGACACTGAATTAGGAAAACCTGTTTACTGTAACACCCTGTTGTACACCCGAAAATGTTAACATTGCTTTATGATATTAAGCGCAGTTACAATCACATTGGTTCAATTAAAAATTCGGACAAATTTTTGTTGTTGAAGGAATCCGAATTTAAAATAATCAATTGCGTGATCATAACCATATAATGTTGCAGAATAAATGAAACTAGGCTTAACATCATATTCTTATTTTATTAGACCACACATTATTAAATGTCTTCATCTCTTTTATTATTGTATGAATTTTATACATCTTTTATATAACGCCCGACCGCTTCAAGAATCAATGATTATCCCCACATACTAACACGAGACTTTTCAGTGTGCTTTTTCCCCACTCGCACACTTCCCGGGAAAACTTCTCAGGAGGTCACCCATCCCAAAATTGCTCCAAGTCAAGCACGCTTAACTATGAATTTCTTCCGTTCCGGGCTATCGAAAAGCAAATACATCTTGTTAGTATAGGTAGTCCCAATTAATTCTTATAAGCTATCCCAAACTGTGCAGTCTCATACCTGCACAGTTTTTGGAATCCCTCTCTTTCGGGTGTCGATTCGATTCATTCATGCATGTAACCCCCCGCTGGAAGCCTGTCAGAAGCCGCTCCTTGTCCGTGCCTCTTTGCACCGGCGATCACTCCCCGCCCTCGTCAGCGCTCGGGATGTTACATGCCCACCAGCTTCCGCCTGGTTGGTCCTCGAACCACACCGTAGGACGAACCACACCGTACTGGAAGAGAGGCCCTGCTCTGATACCACTTGTAATGCCCGGAATGGAAGAACTCCATAGTTAAGCGTACTTGACTTGGAGCAATTCTGGGATGGGTGATCTCCTGGAAAGTTTTCCCAAAAAATGTGCGAGTGAGGAAAAAACACACTGAAAAGTCTCGTATTAGTATGTGGGGATAGTCATTGATTCTTGAAGCGATCGGGCGTTACATTTTATAGTTACCATCTCCTACTATATTATAGATCTCTTCGTTAGCTTCGGGTGGGTTCAAACCGCGCTCAAATCCGAGCTCTGTAGCTCGAGTTATGCAAGTCTTACTAAACTGCGTTTTTGCTGATTTCGGGTAGCGCGTTTTAGCGCCCAACTGAGCGTTAAAACGCCCATAGGAAGAGAATTTTTCCTTCTTCAGGTCTTCAGCGCGTTTTAGCGCTCAACTTTCACGTTAAAACGCCCACTTGAGCGTTTTAGCGCCCATTTGCGCGTTAAAATGCCCAAGGGCAGAGACTTTTCCTCTATTTCACGTACATAACGCGTTTTAGCGTCCTTATCAGCGATAAAACGCTCTCCAACTGGGCAACACATGCCCTCCCCTGTTTTCATGTAATTTCTTGAGGAAATTTCTCCCTCTTTCACCATTCTCTTAACACCTAATAAACTAGGAATGACCAACAACATCCAACACATGATGTGGCTCTTACATCCCATCATTTTTATCTTTAATCTCTTAAATAATCCTTACATCAATCTATAATTACAACTACATAATCTCACATTACATCATATGGCCTCAAAATACACAAACATATAATGATATAAATGGCACATACATCTAACAATCCTAGATGATATACAATCCCAAAATGACAAGCTATCATGTGCCATCTACTCAGGCCTCTTGCCTCGTCCTGCATCATCCATGCTAGTACCTGAAATAGCATTCCCCAAACGGAGTGTGATAAAACTCAATAAACCCAGGGTTCTTGGAGTACTTCTCCAACCCCAGAGTTCACTTCCAGCATGAAGGGTTAATATACACATGGCATGAACTACATCATATATCCAAAGGCAATAACAGTAATAATTTAACTACAGCATACTTGTGCATTCAAATGGCTACAGAATTAAACAATCAAATCATCACACACGCTTCAGTTGCATCTTAGTCATTTCCACTAAGCATACAACCTAGCCCCTAGTGCTTGTCCATTGGCCCTTTCTCCAATGACACAACAATACTATATGAATGCAAACATACCATAATACTAACATTACCACTCAATCATCCATTCATTAACCATTACTTCCATGAAAGCAATGGTGGAACAACAAGAGGGATTAATCTCCAAGATCCAAAGGTTTACCTCTTGATGTTTCTCCTCCTTTGCAAGCTTTCTTCTAGCTCACTTATCCACACTAACCTTTCTTAGTATGTCTACTTGGCAATTCCTTCCAATCACCAATACACCATATTCAAGAGTGTGAAATCAATCAACATACATCAATAAATACCTCTATATTCATCAATCATACAATCAAATTCCACAATTAAGGCATGAACTTACCAATCCAAATGAGCTACTCATGCTCCATGGCTCCCTCCAATGGTTGGTCACTTAATGTGGGTCCACTTGCTTCAATTCTATCAACACAATGGACACCATTAACACAACCAATCCAAGCCATGACTCAACAATGCAAGAAACTCCACATTTCAAGCATGAATTTTTCCAAAATATTGAACAATAACAAACGAATATCTAAGTTCATTTCCACCGTTTAATTATCATTCCTAACAACTTTTACAAAAGAATTTAGCATCAATCTAACTCAAACTCATCAAACTCACAAAATCACTATTCATCATCTTCAACCTCATGCAACCTCCATGGAAACAAGGTTTGAGAAGGGAAAACTTACCCCAAAAGATCACACAACCAATGAATGGTGGTCTCCTAAGCTCCCATGAATG